ACACTGTGGATAACACTAACCGAATCGCAAACGTGGCTATACGCAACGCCAAAAGCACAAAAAATAAATATAAAATGCAGCAATCAAGCGGAACAGGGAATTGTAATACGCGGGACCGGGAAAATAACGTTGGAAGGAAATTGTAAGTTAACGACGCAACAACAAATCTACGCCGTGAGTATACAGGCGCACTTACCCGAATTTAACTTGACTCTCGAGCAGCCCGACGAACATTTTACACACCGGGAATGGCCACGATTAAAAACAATTGTAAAAAACCCAACCGAACTCGAAAAATTAAGCGCAGAGCTAGATGAAATAAATAGACAATTAGAGAACCAGGATACGATAGTCATGAATAGGTACGCAATGCACGCCGCGAGCGGCGGCGTAACCACTGTAGTAATTATAAGCGTAATATGCGTAATCATCTACATACATAAGAAATGCAAGAAAAAAGCAACAAGGGGTACCCGCGAGGACCCATACTCGAACAATGACGCGATGATGTACTAAACAAATAGACTAGATGGATAGAACAAACGAATAGATAATAAGAAATAAATGTAAACAAAAGTAAGCAGAAAATAAAGAAAATGCATCCCTCATTTCCTTTTCTTTGGGGGGGAAGAGTGTCACGGGCCGATTACCGTGACACGGATGCGACAATTATTAAGAAATACGGCGCAACCTAAATTAAATCGGGAACGCCGACGAAGCGTTCCGAAAAATATATTATGTAAAAATAAAAATAACTAATAAGGATGGTTGCGCGACGGCGACCTCGTGGTAACCGAAAAGTACTACGCTGACACGCGATCGCTATAAGTGCGCGCGACGACAAGACGCGCGGAGTTAATCTGTCGAAAGATAAGTTTGTGTCGCGTTACCAGGTCCGCCACGAATAGTTAAGTGCCGTAACGGCGCGTATCGAATAAGAAGAAAAAGGCGATTGTGAAATAAACGGAGACCGGATATAAAGGCAAATAAAGTGTATTTTGTGAAAAAGTGATCAAAGGCGTCTGAGTTATTCAGTTCCCCCGCGGAGCCGGACCCCGTTGTGCTAGCGGCACAATAATTGCATAGAAGCGATGGACTCACACGGTCGCGGAGGACCCAGTTGCCGAAGGCAAAAACCACAAGGGCAAGGCGGACGGGCGTATTCGGCCGCCAGATAACAGAGAAGGTCGCGGGCACGTGGCCCGGAAAAGTCGGGCCAAATTTAAAGCTCGCGCCGCCGATTGCGGGCAATCCGATCACGTGCGACGCCGCGATTCGCGGGCGTCGTGTTCGCAGGGCAAGGGCCAATCGGCGCGTTATCAGCCGATCCCGTGACACCTTGCGGCCTGCATGCTGCCGAAAGAACCGTCGAGTGACACTTGAGCTGTGGTCGGGGATTCCACCGATGAATGCGTTACGGTGCGGATCGGTGCGCTACAGACGTCGATCCCAACCTTCTTATACCCATCGAAGTATCGAGATCTATACCTACGCATAGAAATTGGAAGGCTGGACACCTAATCCAGCAATAAGAAATTCATATTACTCTCTTGGAAGGCGGGATCCTTGTCGAATTTCGATTCCAGCACTACTGGCAAATATTTTATCTCGGCCATATTGCCATATTTATGACATAAAGACGCAAGACGCATGGATGGAATTGAGCGAAGCCACGCTACCCAGAGGGGCTAATTTTACTCAAGAAACACGAACAGTCGGTGAGTCGACCCACCTCCAAAGCTCAGCTTTATCCATTTTAGCTTCCTTTCCATTATTTTTTGTCTTGATTTACGATTACATTATCTTATATCGTTAATTCTCTGGCATGCGAATTTTTTCTGTCGTCGGTTATTCGATAGCATACAAGTCACCTTGAGTTAAAAGTGATAAGTAATTGAATCATACATATATATATTAGAGTTTGTATTTAACGCTCGCCTATCATTTCCCGACTTTTGGTTAAAATGATTATTTTGTCCATGCCTACATTTGTGAAGCCTTCAGATTAATTAGTGTATAATAAAGATAAAGCTAAGATATTTAATTCTACTATTGATATCGACAGATTGAGTCCGTCCGACGGTTACGGAGAGGTCAAAACATATTTCGATATTATTGCCGGTCTTCTCTTGTTTGCGCCCGGCCTTCACATTCCACAAGGGCCGTACTTGTTGCCATGCCATGCCTACATGACCTGAGTCGACTTATTACATGATGATTATTATGTGCCATTGTTCACACATATAATACATATAACGAATCATCTACCTAGTCACCAACGAGGCTAGTTTTGCCCAGAACTTATTTTCTCTTTCTTTTGGTATTATTATTTGTATTTGCAATAACTTAGTTATAATCATATATACACTCGTCAACAAAATAAACGCATAGATTTACTTCAAAATTTCGCATAACTTTAGACAATCGTAACTCCGCGAAAAATGGTCGTATCAGAAGTTTTTTTTTCATTCTCAAGAGTAAAACCTGTACTTAAAGATGCTTCTGATAGATTTTTAATCTACCTTTCCTCCTACCCGTGATCTTTTAAAAAGTAAAGACATGTTACGTCTCCAAAAAGTTTGTATAATTTGATGCATTTTATTTTTTCCGGGACGGAATGAATTTTTCTCGCAAATGTCATGGTAACCATCGTAAAGATTGGACTTTTTGCTACAAATTTGAAAAAAAATGAAACTTCATACGAATCTTTTTCGCGGAATTACATGTCAAAGTTATCATTGCATTTTCGTTAAATTACTGCCAGCATTAGCATTACCCGATGCGCACCACAGGCAGGTTGCTGGTCGGATTTTGCGCATCGTGTGTGTGTGTATGTGTGTGTGTGTATGCGCGCGCGCGCGAAGTAGATGAGTACGTTTGCATTTTAAAATCGCGTATTTTCGTCTTCGGATGACTTTTTGCAAACGTTCACGCATATTAATGCAGACTCTAAGTGTTCTTTGTGGAATGTCCCACCATATTTGTTGTAACGCTGTTTCCAGTTGCTGGAGATTGATTGGCGGTCTCTCTAAACTACGAAGCCTTCTTCCCATCATATCCCACACGTGTTCGATGGGATTTAAATCTGGACTTACAGATGGATGTGGCAACATCTCGATGTTGTTTTCTTCGAGAAAATTATGAACAATTCTAACAGTATGTGGGCGAGCATTGTCCTGCATTAAGATAAAATTACATCCCATTTGATGACGCATTGGAATTACGTGAAGACGTAAAATTTCCTGTATATAGCGTATTGCTGTCATCCCAGGAGATAATATAATGACGAGATCTGTGCGTCTATGCGTCGATATTCCACCCCATACCATGATGGAACCACCACGAAATGCTCGGACAGGTTCAACACAATTTTGCTTGAAACGATGTCCACGACGACGCCAAACACGGTCCCTTCCGTCAGAACCAAAGAGGCAAAATCGCGAATCATCAGTGAACAATACGTTGCTCCATTGTCTCGCAGTCCAATTTTTATAAGTGCGTGCATATTGCAAACGAGCACGCCGGTGAGCCACAGATAACATTGGCACTTGAATACGAGCCCATGACGTAAAGTCTACTTCGTGTAAACGTCTCCTGATTGTTTCATCGCTGATTTGTCTGTACGGCAAAACTTCGCTTGAAATTTGTCGCGCAATCGTTGTCGGATTTCGCATTGCCGCATTGACGATATAGCGATCTTCTCGAGCTGACGTTATTCGCCTTCGACCTCTCCTTTCACGAAATGTGCCTGTCTCTTGATTGCCTGATAACGAGCCCAAATTTGACAGATGGAAGATTGATTCACATCCAGTCTCCTTGCAACATAATTCTGGCTCAATCCTTCTTCTAAAAGTGCAATGATTTGCGCACACTGCATTTCATTTAAACGAGGCATTGTTGCGTCGTTTGCTTTTCGATCTGAAGTTAGTTGTTAGTACCGTACTGCACTTTAGTGTACTGCGTAACTTCAGTTTAAAAAGCAAACGACGCAACAATGAAATCGCTGCAAAAAACAGTGCCACGAAAGTCTATTGGTCATATTGGAATTCCCTTGAACTAAGGAATGGCGTTCTTTATAAAAGACTAGCGGTTTCCCGGCATGCGTTGCAATGCTACTTAAAGGAAAGAAAGTGCTTGTGTTTTAATTCCGTTTATTGAAGTGCTTTTGGATACACAATATTTTTTGTTTTTCCATCTGGTGCATACACGAATAAATCAGAAGATTTTCCG